TTGAATGAAGAAAAGTTCAGAGAGAATGGGGCATCAGTTGAAGATATGAAACCTGTTTTTGAAGAGTTTAAACTGACAGTCAGATTATACAACTGTATCGGCCAAAAGATTTACAGTTATGACCCTGATAAGAAAAACAAAAACATCACTGTATTGTTTGGAATGATTAAGGGAAACCACATTTACACAATGAATGACAACATCAAAAGCATAGCACAAAAAGAATTAGAGGAAAATATGAAACTATGTGCTTCTACTGACTTTCGCTTAAATAGCAAGGAGAAACCAGTTAAGTATGATTTTTTCAATGGCATTGATGACATAATGGGTATAGTTAAAGATAATGAAGATGAAGAAGAAGTAAATTTAGTTAGTGGTAAAAGTTTAAATACAATTTTTTGTGGGTTCAAGAGGGCAAAGTATGAGCCTAAAATCATAATGGGAGCAGGTGGCAATGTAGCATCACTCAAGGTCAAGTTTAATAAGTTGATTTTGAATATAAGAAGTCAGAGTTTGATAGACTGTGCTGTGGATACTTGTATTGATAGTAATAGTGCTGATATGTTCAATAAAGTCAATGAGGCATTTTTTAATTTCAATAAGGGTATGTTCAATCCTAATCACAAGTCATATTATCACAATGATGATTTAAAAATATTTTCAATGGCGCATAGTATAGCACCAAGTGGGTATTTTGAAAGCATCGTTGAAGGTAAGAATACACACATTGAATTAGATAGGAGAAAGGCTTACACAAAATCTACCATTGACATTTTTGAAGTGCCTTGCTTTTCTGAATTTGATATTTGGAAAAAGTATGATTATTCAAAGAATGATTTTAACAAGATGAATGCTTTGACATTATATCTTGTTAAAAGCAAAGTTAGGAATTTGTTTTTTAATAGGACTTTTAACTTGATTTACGGTAAGTTTTTGAAAAAATATGCTGATATGGTTGAAATCATCTATTACAAAGTTCCATCTAATACATACAAAGTTAATTACAAAAAAATAGTTGATGAACTTTGGAAATTGAAACTGGATGAGGATGAAGAGAAGGACAAAATGAAAAAGAAAATAATTGCTTGTATCAACATCGGCTTATTAGAAAAGCAAACTAACACTGCTAAAAAGTCCATAGTGTTTTCAAAAATGGTTGATGCCTTTTACTATCAAGAAAAATACGGTGGAGATATAAGTATCATTACTGAAACTAAATGGGATGGTGAAGTGTATGATGATGATGAGGATTGCTTGATTGAATTTGATGATAAAGGCAATGTCATTGAGCCTGAAAATGATGGGAAAGAACTTGCTAAAATTGTGGATGAGTGTAAGCATTATGTGCTTAACATATCTGACACAAAAACTTTAATGAATGGATATAAATATGTGAAAGAACTGATTTTACAACATCATAACTTTGATATGAATGAGGCTTATGAAACACTTATGAGGGATGGTGTAGTGGTGTATTCAGTTAAGACTGATGCCTTTGTAATTGACAAATGTAATCTGGGTAAAGCAAGGGAGGTGTTGAAATTTGGTAGTGAAATTGGTGAATGGAGGTGGTCTGATAAATTTAATTTTCCCAGCAAGGCATTTTGTAAGCAACCCAGTGTATTATGTGATATAACTGAATATGAAAATAAAACGGGTGATGTCAAGGATGAATGGAACACTGATGAAATCATTGATGAGCATATTTTGAATAATAAAAGGTTGCTTATCCAAGCAGAGTTTGCAGGTTCAGGCAAGAGTTATATATGTAAGCATTTGAAAAATAGAAATTATAAAGTTTTGTTTGTTGTTCATAGCAATGAGTTAGTGCAACAGTGCGGTTGTGAATGGACTACCATAAATAAGTTTTTTGGTATTTCATTTGGAGATGAGAGACTACAAAAGCTTGATTATTCAGGTTATGATGTCATAGTGTTTGATGAGATATATTTTCATAATGTGGGCAAGTGGGCTTTGATATGGGACTTTGAGAAAAATAATCCTGATAAGATTGTATTAGCAACAGGTGATACAAAGCAATTGAAAAATCCTGAGAGTGTAAGTAATGCAATTGCTTTTGAAAAATATGCTGACCATTGTATTAATTTAATTTTCAAGAATAATACTATGCTTTATGAATGTAAGAGATTGAAGACTGAAGAAGATAGGCAAAAGTTAAGAGATGTTAAAAGGTTGATTTTTGAAGGCACATTTTTTAGAGAAATCATTGGTACATATTTCAAATGGACTGACAAGATAGAAATGTATGAGAATAACATTGCTTATACAAACAACACCTGTAAAATGGTTTCAAGCAAAATCAGGGAACTGAAAAATATAACTGAAGAATATGTTATTGGTGAGGAAGTTATATGCCGAAAATATATGAAGACTAAAGGGAAGAAATTTAATGTCAATTTTAGATTTAGGATTGTGAATATTGTTGGCGATATTGTTGTTTTACAAAATGTGGCAACTGGTGAGAAGCAAAATATAGAACTGAAACTATTGAGAAAGCATTTTATTTATGCTTACTGCTACACCGCTCATTCAAAGCAGGGCTGTAGTGTTGATGGTGATATAGTGATATATGATTGGAATGAATGGTATGTTATTAAGAATTGTTTTTTTACAGCCCTCACAAGGGCTACAGACTTCAACAAAATTAAGTTTTTCAAATATAATGAAGGTGAAGAAAGTAAATCTAAAAGGATAGTAGAGCAGTATTTTGAGAGAAAGGTTTTAAATTACATTGAGCAAGACAAGAAAGCAGGTAGAGATGTAGAAGGAAATGATGATGTAGATTTTTTGATGAACCTGATGAATACCCGGTGTGAGAATTGTAATGAACCGTTGGTGATAGATTTTGAAGAAGGCAGGATTGTGTCAAACATTACCTGCCAAAGGGTTAATTGTTGTGAAGCTCACTTTAAAGATAATTGTAGAGGTTATTGTGTGTCTTGTAATTGCGCTTTTTCAAATAAGATATTAATGTAAAATGGTCTTAAAGAAAAGATAAGTTAAGATAAGTAGGGATATGAGCAGATTTATAAAATAGTAGATGTAGGATATAATAAAACCTATTATGGTTCTACTTGCGAAAGTTTGAGCCAAAGAATGACAAGACATAGAGCCAAATACACAGCATACTTGAAAGGTAATATTACAAATACACGTTCTTTTGATTTGTTTGATGAATTCGGTATAGAGAATTGTAAAATTGAATTAGTAGAAAACTACCCTTGTAATAGCAAGGAAGAGTTAAGACGGAGGGAGGGCTACTATATCAAAAACAATGACTGTATCAATAAATGTGTGCCGTGTAGAACACCAGCAGAATATTACCAAGATGAAAATGAATATTGTAGGTTCAGAAATGACCTTTACAAACAACTTCATAAAGAAGAAGAACAGGAATATCATAGAAGACGGTTTCAAGAAAGAAAACACATCTTGCTGGAAAAACATTTGTGTGGTTGTGGCAAATATTACACATTTCAACACAAAAAAAGACACGAGAAATGACAAAAGCACCAAGACTGGTTAAATAAACAAAATGAAGAATAAATGATATAATTTTAATATTTATTATATCATCTATTCTATAATGAGTGAAAGTAAGAAACAACAAATTATTCGTGATATTTATTTTGATAGAAGTGGCTATGGTTCAAGAAAGACCACATTAGAAGATGCTAAAAAGAAAGAACCTACAATCAAGAAAGAGGATGTTGAACAATTCTTTAGGAAAAATGTTGAGATAAAAGCAAAGCCAAGAGGGCATAATTCCTTTGTAGCACCTCATAACAATCATACTTATCAAATTGATTTGTTTTTTATGGGGTATTATGATTTTGATGAAGAACAAAAATATAGAGGAGGATTGGTTTGTATTGATGTTTTAAGCAAGTATGCCGTAGTAATTCCAATTGTAAGCAAGAATGAACCTGATGTTATTGAGGCAACTAAAGAGGCATTAAAAAAAATGGGAAAGAAACCAAAAATCATATACAGTGATGATGAAAAAGCAATAGCAGGAGGTGATTTTAAAGACTATATTGAAGGTGAGAATATTGAGTTGTATAGGACAAGGGGTCATCCTGCTTTTGCTGAAAGATTTATACGCACCTACAAAGATATGCTTTTTAAAAAAGTTGAAGCAGATGAAAAGAAAGGAAGAGAACATATCAAATGGGTTGATTACAATTTAGAAATTATGCTGACATACAATGATAAAATGAAACACTCCGCTACAGGTATGACACCAAAAGAGGCAAGGAAAGATAAAAATGAATTCAGAGCAATGCTGAATGTAGCATCAAAGGCAAAGAAGGAAAGGATGTATCCAACATTAGAGGTGGGAGACAAAGTAAAGATAATGAGAAAGAAAGCAATTACAGAGAAAGAAAGAACTTCCCACTGGCTGAAAGGTTATTATGTTGTGCAAGAGATTGCAGAAAAGTTGAACCAACAATATTACAAATTAACTGATTACCCAAGATTGTTGATGAGGCACGAACTTTTAAAGATTTAGTGTTTTTAGAAAGCTTTGTAAGCATTTTTTCCCATCAGATGGTTGATTTTATGTGCTCTTTTGGTTTCGGGGTTTTGTGTTTTGCCCTTCATTTGTTTTCCCCACGAATTTGTGTTCGGCACGTTTGGGTCATTGGCTGGGATTGCTCTATGTTCCTTTGCCCTTCTGCCCCGCCATGGCTTCGTCATCAATCTCTTCTTCATCCTGTTGTCGGGGCGCTCAGCTGTTGAGAATGTCAGTTGGAGGTTTGAAGCCACATATTCTTGGAGAGCTTGACCTTGGAATTTGTTTCAATTTGAGCATCTTTGACATTCTCAGTTGGAAAGCTACAGAAATTAGCTCTTTCAGTTTGCGCTTGGAATTTTGTGTCATTCTTCAGCATCTTTATGTTCTTCCGTAGCGTTTTTGCGAGTTTTTCCTCAAGCCACTCAGGGACGCTTTTTAGCTCAGGGGTGTCGGCATTGCCATGGCGCTCAAATCTGGTGTATTCGCTTGCCTCATCCTTGCATTGTGCGTGAGCTGCAACAACGTCATGGCAGAGGAGAACTCCGGCAAGGAGACTGAGAAGAGCGGCATCATCATCGGCCGCGGCCTCCCAAGTGAGACTGAGAAGAGTGGAGCGCCCTTCCTCCCTCGGTCGGAGAACCTCGAGGAGACTGAGAAGAGCGGCATCATCATCGGCCGCGGCCTCCCAAGTGAGACTGAGAAGAGTGGAGCGCCCTTCCTCCCTCGGTCGGAGAACCTCGAGGAGACTGAGAAGAGCGGCATCATCATCCCGCGGCCTCCCAAGTGAGACTGAGAAGAGTGGAGCGCCCTTCCTCCCTCGGTCGGAGAACCTCGAGGAGACTGAGAAGAGCGGCATCATCATCGCGGCCTCCCAAGTGAGACTGAGAAGAGTGGAGCGCCCTTCCTCCCTCGGTCGGAGAACCTCGAGGAGACTGAGAAGAGCGGCCTCATCATCATCCGCGGCCTCCCAAGTGAGACTGAGAAGAGTGGAGCGCCCTTCCTCCCTCGGTCGGAGAACCTCGAGGAGACTGAGAAGAGCGGCATCATCATCGGCCGCGGCCTCCCAAGTGAGACTGAGAAGAGTGGAGCGCCCTTCCTCCCTCGGTCGGAGAACCTCGAGGAGACTGAGAAGAGCGGTGACATCATCATCCGCGGCCTCCCAAGTGAGACTGAGAAGAGTGGAGCGCCCTTCCTCCCTCGGTCGGAGAACCTCGAGGAGACTGAGAAGAGCGGCATCATCATCGGCCGCGGCCTCCCAAGTGAGACTGAGAAGAGTGGAGCGCCCTTCCTCCCTCGGTCGGAGAACCTCGAGGAGACTGAGAAGAGCGGCATCATCATCGGCCGCGGCCTCCCAAGTGAGACTGAGAAGAGTGGAGCGCCCTTCCTCCCTCGGTCGGAGAACCTCGAGGAGACTGAGAAGAGCGGCATCATCATCGGCCGCGGCCTCCCAAGTGAGACTGAGAAGAGTGGAGCGCCCTTCCTCCCTCGGTCGGAGAACCTCGAGGAGACTGAGAAGAGCGGCATCATCATCGGCCGCGGCCTCCCAAGTGAGACTGAGAAGAGTGGAGCGCCCTTCCTCCCTCGGTCGGAGAACCTCGAGGAGACTGAGAAGAGCGGCATCATCATCGGCCGCGGCCTCCCAAGTGAGACTGAGAAGAGTGGAGCGCCCTTCCTCCCTCGGTCGGAGAACCTCGAGGAGACTGAGAAGAGCGGTGACATCATCATCCGCGGCCTCCCAAGTGAGACTGAGAAGAGTGGAGCGCCCTTCCTCCCTCGGTCGGAGAACCTCGAGGAGACTGAGAAGAGCGGCATCATCATCGGCCGCGGCCTCCCAAGTGAGACTGAGAAGAGTGGAGCGCCCTTCCTCCCTCGGTCGGAGAACCTCGAGGAGACTGAGAAGAGCGGCATCATCATCGGCCGCGGCCTCCCAAGTGAGACTGAGAAGAGTGGAGCGCCCTTCCTCCCTCGGTCGGAGAACCTCGAGGAGACTGAGAAGAGCGGCATCATCATCGGCCGCGGCCTCCCAAGTGAGACTGAGAAGAGTGGAGCGCCCTTCCTCCCTCGGTCGGAGAACCTCGAGGAGACTGAGAAGAGCGGCATCATCATCGGCCGCGGCCTCCCAAGTGAGACTGAGAAGAGTGGAGCGCCCTTCCTCCCTCGGTCGGAGAACCTCGAGGAGACTGAGAAGAGCGGTGACATCATCGGCCGCGGCCTCCCAAGTGAGACTGAGAAGAGTGGAGCGCCCTTCCTCCCTCGGTCGGAGAACCTCGAGGAGACTGAGAAGAGCGGCATCATCATCGGCCGCGGCCTCCCAAGTGAGACTGAGAAGAGTGGAGCGCCCTTCCTCCCTCGGTCGGAGAACCTCGAGGAGACTGAGAAGAGCGGCATCATCATCGGCCGCGGCCTCCCAAGTGAGACTGAGAAGAGTGGAGCGCCCTTCCTCCCTCGGTCGGAGAACCTCGAGGAGACTGAGAAGCGGGTCTTCCCATGATGGGCATGATGATGGTTCACGTCTTGAGAAGGCTTGCTTCGCCAACAGGGCGACTTGCAAAACAGTGCTTGCTTCGCCACCAGGGCGACTTGCAAAACAGGGCTCTTGGCTGATGCTTTTATGATTGACAAGGTCTGTAGGTAGCAAGGTTTCAGGGTGTCAGGTAGGAATAGGACATTGCTTCAATAGAGCATTGATGCCAGTGAGCCTTCAAAAGCTTGACATTCTGGCACCAACAAGGCACAAAACACAAATCTTTTTCACTCCATTTCGCCCCAAAAGTTTGGATTGCTGTGCCATCTACATCGCGCTGAGGTTAAGAAGACATGGTTATCAACAAGTTCATGAAGGGCCGTTTGGGCATGGTAATTGCGGTAAATAAAGAGATTTGAGATTGAGAAAGATGTGATGCTGTTGTGATATGCTAGTTTGTATGTATGCTGGTATGTATGCTGGGGGGTGGGATAGTATGTTGGCTGGGGGCTGAGGCTTCCCCTATAGGGAGAGACTGTGGTAATTAATCCCATAATCTTCATGATAAATGATGATGAAAATTATGTTGGTTATCCCCATAAATTTGAAGTGATGATTATGAAATTCAAACTCAAAATTACAAGAGGCACACAAACACTTTGAAGCATGAGGAGAATTTGAAGAAGAATGATAGTTAAATTTCATTTTATAAAAGTGAAATTGTCTTTTGTTTTGGTTTGTTGTTATGGTTTTTGGTATAGTCTATTTTATAATCTATTGTATTGTTTAGGTTGTTTGAGTTTTTTGTTTTGTTGTTTGTTGTTAGGTTTTATGTTGAATATCTTTGTATGATTGTTTGTTGGTATGCTGTTTTGGTTTTGTTAATTCGTTTATGGGGCTCCCGTCTTTCATGATTATCCCCCAAATTTGTTGGTATAGTAAGTGGGCGGTTAGATAGAAAAGACGGGATTGCCTTAGGCTAACTATATATATGTATATGTATATACTGTATATATGAATTATATTGCTTATCATCAGTTTTAAATTGTCAGGATATCATCTTATCGTTTTGTGCTAGTTCGAAGCCGTGGTTTGCAGAATAACGGGGCAGACCTTCACTTTAGCTCCTTTCAGGTCCTATCGAATGTTCATCCTGAGTGCTGATTTTGAAGATGAGCTTGACAAGGACTGGGACGGGACGGGAAAAAACGGAGGTTTTCCATTTTGTTTTTGAAAAACAAATTAATGTGGGATCCACCCAATGCCATGTTTACCATCCCCCAAATAAGAACTTTATGGGTGGTATGTTAGTTTTATTAACAGGTCGCCCACATTAAAATGACTGTTGTTTGTTGGATTGCACCAAAAAAACAACATATTGTTGACATTTTTTGACGAGGTTTTGCAGGAGGTTGTTGATGGTTATTTCAGTTTCCCTCCAGTTGGTTACTGTATCATTCTTCATACGATCTTTGATCCAATGGAGAGCTGAATCACATGGAATGTCATCATTTTCCAGCGTCCCTTTTCATGTTCGGGTTGACCTTCAATCCTGCAAGATTGACTGTCAAACCCCGCCCAATGTAGGCACCAAAACGACGTCACCACAATGTCACTGGAAATGATCAGTACAATTTAGCCATACTTCATTATTGCATTATGGTTATATGGGTATGAGTCAAAATTAGGTACCCCAATAATTGGATGGTTAATACTAAACTAGACATTTCCATCTGTGGTCCCCTAGGTCTTCCATTTTGACCCACATCCATATACCCCCATGATATTCCATTTACATCCATTTACGATGGAATCACTAGATATAATCCCTAATCCGGTTTATTCCAAGAATCCCAAGATATTCCATTTACCCTGGCTTAAACTAACATAGATGTGGAAAACCCGTGGAAAACTCCCTTGGAAACTGATCTACTTAAATGGTGTGATTCTTTCCACATCGAACTGGTGGTTTACGGGAGGGTACCACATTATACCAACCAATGATTGCCAATGCTTTGATACCAACCATATAGGGTACCATATTATACCATATAATACCATATTATACCTACCAACCATTGATACCATATTATACTGCTATCCAACTACAATTCCGAAATCATCAGCCATTTACCACCATGGTTTTATCCACCCATTTACCATTTCGTGGCCACAAGGATGGCCAGAGCTTCCATTGGACGCTCGAGCTCCAGCCGCAGCTCTTGGATCACGGCTGTCACCTGTCCGGGCTGCGCGTGGCCAGCCAACTCCCGGAGGCTGGAGGTTGTTTGAAATGCTTGGAATGTGGGGATTTTTATGCAGAAAGAATCGGAAAGAAGTGGAGCTTAAGACATTGAGATTCATATCCTTGGGATATATCAAAGTGGATTTTGACTTCGGAACATCTGGTGATTGAAGTCATCAACAGCTGTGTTGATTTTGCCAGCCATGGGATGTTGATCAATGATCATGGGATTTCAGCCGTGAAAACCATGGGAACAAAAAACGTGTCTTTTGCTGCAGTTGTTCAAATGATTTGAGATGTTTCCGAGACTGGAAGATGGCGGATTATAGGAGCAGGTCGTCCCTTATAACAGTATACTATACCCTCTGGTAAACTAACATAACTATGGAAAATCACCATTTTTAATGGGAAAATCCACTATAAATTGCCATTTTCCATAGCTATGTTAAATTACCAGAGGGTACCTTTGCCAATCCTTGGTCCTTGGGTATCTACCTGGCGATAAAAGGTCTGTGCCGAGATGATCCGAAAGGCGATTTTTTCAAGGCGACAATCTGCCTGGATGGTGGATGATCTTTGAATTTGAAAACGCGCACGGAGGCGTGATTGGTAACCCTACCTGGATGGTGGATGATTGGTAGCCCTACTGAAAAAGAATCCGGTGTTTAAGATAAATGGAGGTTTCTTAAAGTAGGGCTACCAATCATCAACGGAGAGGCGAAAAAGCCCCTTTGAAGACTGAAACAAGGTCGTCACAGGGGGCCCTGTAACTCTAAAAACACATGGAGCAGAAGACAAGTCGTTCAAGACGCACGATCTCGCTCCTGCCAAGATTGTACAGGGCGCAGCAGTTGAGAAAAGGATGGCTTTCTGCGGGGGGGGACGCCTTGATGGCGATGCCAAGAAAAGGGTAGCTCCCCCAAAGGATAGACTTACCTTCCTCGGTGAAAACTGATGGTTTGGAGTATGGCCTGTCTTTAGACGTTTTTGGTTCTAGGTATAGATTCATCCGCAGTCCAAAGTCTTATTGGATTGGTTGAAGGGAAAAATTGCAAGGAGACCTATATTTAATGGGAAAAACTATGGTTTTCTGTAGATTTTCCCTTTAACCAAACCAGGTGAACGTCGTAGATTTCCATCCCCCCACCACCTCACCTCGCCCAGATCATGCCCGTGACCGGACGTGGGATTCAGTGCAATTTCTGCGCTGCACTGAGGTTGTGACGATCCCAACCAGGGGGTCACTTTGCTTCGCATCGGCAGGAAATCGTTCTGGAAATCTCCAATTTTCTGGTCCAAATGGTCGGAACAATGCCTGAATAAAGTCTAAAAATTCATCCATCCAGGAGCATTACCTACCCAACTTGGCTTGGAAAGGACTTGTCTTCTTGGATTTGTCGCCGATTCCGTTCAGTTCGCCTCCCTGAAATGTCTGGGGAATCACTGGCACCAAGGCTCATTTATGGATTGCTTCAGGTTGATGAGGTGCCAAGGGGGGCATGCTGCCGGAGGCTGTCCCAAACTGGGCACTGAGATAGACCAACATAATATTTTATCATCCTCCAAGAGAATCACCATGTCAATAGGGATTCCTTTTCTATCTTTTTGGGGATACAGTAACTCACTTCAGAAGGAATCGGAGGGAGTGCTGATTGGTTCTGGGTTCTTGGCGGACCCTGGACTTTTGGCCGAACTATAGCATAACTACTGTATCCACAATTACCAGCCAGTGGGATCAAGATAGGATGGCGAAGTGGATCAACCAGCCCATGGTTTCCTGTGGAGTTTCCCTTGAAGCAAATAAAGGAGGTTCTCACTTTTGGTTTAGTTTCACAGTTGCTGGTGACACCCCCCATTGTTGCTGCTGACCGCCTCACTCTTGGATATTTTTCGGCACCTAGAAGGGACTGTAAAATCCAATTCAAAAAGCTGATCGTATCTCAATTGTTGGTTGCTTAGATTCCAAGTTATGGCTGGTGAAATCGTTTGTTTTCCACGTTGAAATGCTGCTGGCATCACAATTTTGTTTGGTTGCGCCGTCATTTTTGTTCAATATATATAAATATATATATACACAATATTTTTTATTTTTCTATATATATATATATAAATAAAATATACCTAATTCTATAATGATATAACTTATAATATTATGACATTATATATATATCCCAACTTCTGTTGTCGCGGTTTCCTTGAATGGGACCCAAAAACCCGTACGTTTCCCGATTAAGAATGACAGTAAAATGACAGTAAGAAATTGCATGATTTTGAGAACATCGACTCATACCGGGGTTTCTTCAAATGGGGGATCCCCAAGTCACCGTAGTTGTTTCAATACTAAGCCATAGTCATACATGACCACTGGATGATTTTAGGGATAGCCCCATGACTTGGGAAACCTCCATATAGTGTAGAAACATAGTTAAAGTGATCATTTTGCGAAAAAATCGCCTCACATGCCCGAAACCACTCATATCCCCAACTTTTATATACTATATACGTATATAAATACATACATATATATATATATCACTGTATTTCGGAAACCAGTCATATCGCCCACTTTGTTTTTGTCCTCCCGTGGCTTTTGCCGTGGCTCTGAGGCAAGCCTCACAGCCGGAATCCAACGAGATGCTCTTTGTGGGACATGAAGTGGCCACTGCTGGGGGACCTAGGTGAAAGATATGTGGAATTGGCCTAGGTAGTTTGGATTAGGTGAGTTTAGTTTACTCAAAATATCTAGAAATGTAGAAAATTGCGGCAATCAATGTTGTGGTTACTTGTACTGAGAGTTTCTTGGCAACTATGAACAATATCTAGGTTACATGGCTGATCATCTAACCTGCACGTCAAGTCACTCATTTTACCCTACCATGGGAGTGACGATTTGCCATGAACCAAGGTGTAGAAAGATGTAGATCCAGAGATGGCAGGAATGCAAACGGATTCTGTATCCACGTTGGCCGTATACATCAATACGCATATGAATTATGAACTATCAATGGTCCATATCTTTCAGCATATATCATTCCTACATCATCATCATTTCCACATCATCATCATTCCTACATCATCATCATCATCATCATCATCATCATCATACATCATCATCATCATTTCTACATCATCATTTCTACACCATCATTTCTACATCATCATTTCTACATCATCATCATCATCATCACCACCATCATCATCATCACCATCATCATCATCATCATCACAATCATCATCATGATCATGATCATGATCATCATCATCATCACCATCATCATCATGATCATCACCATCACCATGATCATGATCATGATCATGATCATCATCATCATCATCAGGATCATCATCATCATGACCACCATCATTATGATCATCATCATCATGATCATCATGATCATCATCATCATGATCATGATCATCATCACCATCACCATCATCAGCATCATTATCATGATCATGATCATCATCATCATGATCATCATCACCATCATCATCATCATGATCATGATCATGACCATGATCATCATCATCATGATCATCATCATCATCACCATCATCATCATGTTCATGATCATCATCATCATGATCATCATCATCATCATCATGATCATGACCATGATCATCATCATCATCATATCATGACCATGATCATCATCATCATGATCATCACCATCATCATCATCATCATCGTGATTATCATGATCATCATATTTTTATTTAATCATTTAAGAATATATCAGAATAATGACAATAGTGATAATATATCCATGTGCATTTACACAGAATTTCAACCTGTGGGCGACACTTTCGCCACGCACCGCTTGTTTCACCCAGGAGGCGGTGTCCATCGCGGCCAACCTGCCGAACGAGACGCGGCAGCCGCAGGAGCCCCTGCGACCCAGGAGGCCATGGGGGTCCATTGGGGTTGAGATATGGCTGGCTGAATTCGATGGTTTTTATGTAGATATAACTATAGTTAATGGGGTTTATAAACCAACTAACTCAACTAGATCTAAAAGTAAATGGAGCTAATTGGGTATGGATCAATACCTTTGAAAATACCATTTTTAGGGGAATGAACATCCATAAATCCCAGCTATTTTGATGTGAACTATAGGGGTACAAGGTTTTGACACACTGCCATATAACTATAGTTAATGGGGTTTATAAACCAACTACAGTAACTAACTAACTAGTTTATGGATGTTGATGGTAGAGATTTCACGAACTAGTTCATGGGGTTTGTAAAGCAACTTATAACTTGGGGAAACCATCCTGTGGGAATCATTTTTTTCCCCACCTGCCAGGTGAGGGTTGTTAGATTTTATCAGAGCTGTTCTCCTCCTCCTCCGCCTCCGCATCCTCCTCCTCCTCGTCCTCCTCCTCCTCGCAGTCCAGATCCCAGTGGGCACTGCCGGACCTCAACCGCGAGTTGCAGATCGCAGTGGGCACTGCCGGACCTCAACTGCGACTTCCAGGTCGCAGTGGGCACTGCCGGACCTCAACCGCGAGCTCCAGATCCCAGTGGGCACTGCCGGACCTCAACCGCGAGCTCCAGATCCCAGTGGGCACTGCCGGACCTCAACTGCGACTTCCAGATCGCAGTGGGCACTGCCGGACCTCAACCGCGACTTCCAGATCGCAGTGGGCACTGCCGGACCTCAACGGGAAGAATGTCAGAAAAGATGTCAGATAGAATGTCAGAAGATATGCCAGATAGAATGCCAGAAAGAATGTCAGAAAGAATATCAGAAGATATGCCAGACAGAATGTCAGAAGATATGCCAGAAAGAATGTCAGAAGATATGTCAGATAGAATGTCAGAAGATATGCCAGATAGAATGCCAGAAAAAATGTCAGAAGATATGCCAGATAGAATGTCAGATAGAATGCCAGAAGATATGCCAGATAGAATGCCAGAAGATTTGCCAGATAGAATGCCAGAAGATTTGCCAGAACGAACATATGCCAGAAGATATGCCAGATAGAATGCCAGATAGAATGGCAGAAGATATTTCAGATAGAATGCCAGAAGATTTGCCAGTAAGAAAATGTATAAATGTCATGGTGGGGATCATTCGAAGTGAAGTAATTTACCATGAACATCACCAAAAATTGATCAATGAATATCACATGCATCATTTGTTTCTCCATTGAAACTATGCGCTCAATGAATATCAATGACATCCAAAGACCAGGAAATTGGATGATTTGGGGGGTTCTTGCGATTCTGGGAACCTGCCAGATATATCTTAACGTCCAGGATGATCCAGGATGAATATGAACCCCGCCGTTGATCATTGGGGGAGGGCAGGTATCCGGTATCCTTCTGGGTACCGAAACGAAATCTCTATTTAGGGACAATCCTTCGATTTTTCATCGACCAAGGGTTATGAATCCGAGTTGACCTTACGCATGAGATATAATATCTGCGGTTTCCTTGAAGTGGGGGACCCCCAAATCATCCAAGTTCATGTTCACGGGTGGGTTTTCAATGGGAAAACCACGGAGTTTCTGGTACCTTCAAGTTTAAGAAACACGTTTAACTCAAGATCAAAAAACCATATTTTGTGGGGATATTCGGATATTCCCTTACATAAGCCTCAAAAATAGGCCTTCTATATGGTAGGTACCTGCAATAAATCGGTTCCTGAAATGGCCATTGATCAGAGATCACCACAGAGATTTCCAAATCATAGGGATTCAGATGGATTCAGTCCACCATCACGGGGACGTCCCCTTTCAAGGACCAGACTCCGGTGATTTTTTTTTGGGCCCTAGAAAAAAAAACATACTGGGATAATCATGAGATACTCATGGGATATTCATGGGATACCCTCTGGTAAAAGTCTAACTTTGGCAAATCACCATTTTATAGCTGGGTAAATCAACGATTTCAATGACCATTTTCAATAGCTTTTTGTTAGTTTACCAGAGGGTAAATCATGGGATAAATTCTATACATGTGGATCTTGAACATTTGAAGCCGTCAATCTTTGAATGTTTATCAAGATACATGGCCATCATTCCTACGAATGGACCGCCTCCGAGATGGTGTTTGGAGCCAGAACCCCGACAATAGCTATTATATACCCTCTGGTAATTTAACGTAGCTATTGAAAATGGCCATTTATAGTGGATTTACCCATGAAAAATGGTGATTTTCCATAGTTATGTTAGTTTACCAGAGGGTAATTCGTGAGTAGAGACCCTCCATTTTCCTGCGAAGATTCAGGTTCCCATGAAAATTGCGATGGTCGAAAAAAACCCGGATGATTTTGACACACCTAAATCATATTGTGGGCTATACTATGTACGGCATGATGACCCATACCATCACCACTATACATGGCCTTCTATACATATATATATATGTATCCATACGCATATGTATATATATATATATACACATAACCAATATAGCCCCCTATCCCTGTCTGAGGGCATAGTTCCAACAATTCCAAAGATACTCTCAATCTATACCCCAGTCCCGTTCTTTATCATCATCTTTCATCTTCCGATTAAAATGGTTGTTTCAGAATGACCCTATCCTTTTTGCAACCCTATATCCTATGATATCTTCAGTATATTTTCATAATTTCGTCATTATATCTGCATCCTATCGTCATTATGTATTCATTATATATCTTCATTCTATCTTCATCATATCCTCATTATATCTTCGCTATATCTTCATAATGTTTCATAATATCTTCAATATCATTCCTCTGGTAAATGAACACTTCGACCCTGAAAACCACCAATTTCTTAGTGGAAACTAGAATCTTCCAACATTTTCCAACCCCCAAAATGGCAAGGTCTAATTTTACATCAAACTTCTGATATAGTCATCCTATGGCATCCTTATATGACCCCATGATACGACTGGTCGATCAGAAAGTCAGGCAGCGGCCTCCCTTTCCGGGCGTTCCGGTGGACCCCGCCTCGGCCGGGAGCCGAAGACTCACTGCGTCATGGGAAAATGATGGAAAATGGCCAATCTATAGGGGATTCTCATGGATTTGTTCCATGGATTTTCTTAGAACATGGCAAACACATATAGGTGATGTTCATTGATTGTCCTATTAACGTTCACCTCTGATTTATAAGTAGGGCCCCCCTCTCTTCCCCTAAATAGACTTAAAGCCACCATCAAACTTGTTTGTATGTAAAGGTTTTCAATTACCACAATTTAAAACGATAATATAAAATGCAATTTCCAAAAAAAAGGGAAACCAACAATTGTTTTTGTATTGATCTAGTACTCATGTCATGGATTTAGTATTGATTTAGTATTCATGTCATGGATTTAGTATTGATTTATTACTCATGTCATGGATTTGGTACTGATCTAGTACTCATGTCATGGATTTAGTATTGATTTAGTATTCATGTCATGGATTCAGTATTGATTTAGTATTCATGTCATGGATTTAGTATTGATCTAGTATTCATGTCATGGATTTAGTATTGATTTAGTATTGGTTTAGTATTTAGTATTGATTTAGTATTCATTTCTTGATCAGCGGGAGGGGGAGGCTCAGTAGCTTTATTCAGGGTCAAACTCTAATTGGTGCTAAGGCACCTCATTGGGGGGTACCCTTGGAGTTGATTTTGGATAATTTTGAATAAAGGTTTTGAATAGAAAGAGCATCCATCATTTTTGAAAAATTTCCAGCTATCATTTTTGAATAAAGGTTTTGAATAGAAAGAGCAACATATAGGATAAGCCAAAAAAAAATTGGGCCAAAAAAGTTTAGCTTTATTTAGGGGTCATTTATTATTTGTTTTGGGGCTCTGGTTAGCTTTATTTAGGGTGGGTTTAAAAGTCGTAGGTCAACATTAAGACTGAACATTTTCCATGGCAAACTGCTAAATTACCAGAGGGTAAATGGCGGTTTGACCATCAACAAAGGGTATGATACCATCAAAAACTGTTGTTTTACCATGTTTCACCATCATTTTTTTAAAACTATCATTGTAAAGACTCGATCAACAATGAGGTGGGCAATAGACTGGTTGAAGGAAACATCTACAGGACACCATTGTCTGTCTTTACCATCTAATATAGGGATTTCGCGAGTATTTTCCCTTCTTCACTTCTGGGAATAAATGCATACGACCTGTCCCATAGGATCCATGTATGCTATATATGGCAACATTTACCATCAATATACCCCCAATGTTAGCATATATACCATACATGGATCCTATGGGTGTTATTGTTTTGTACGTTTTTTCCTCTCCTCGGTTCTGACCCCAACAGATTTTTCTGCACATCCGCACATCCACATTCTGGCCAGGGATGGGCCATGATGGGCCCCCCTCATCATGACATCCTGCAGGTCAGGCGCTGCAAAAAACTGATCTGTTCTCGTTCTCTAAGGTTGGTCTGGAGCTACTGCTTGGCCCTTAGAATGGGGTGAAACCGGTGACTCACCGATACCAGCTGCAAGCTGCAAGCGAAAAAAACTGGGCCGCGCCTGATTCGCCGGGTGATCACAAGGCCAGTCTTAAACGAGAGCCAACTGCAGCATGTCTTTGCAGGGGGCCACAGTGATCACAGAGAGGTTAGTTGACCACAAAATATCAAGAAATCGATGCTTTGAACTTATCTGCAATGTTTAACACCCCTGTTGATTGATTATAGATTATATCAATCATATATATATGATTCTATAAGGTTATACTATATCTAATATTATCCAATAATATCCTACATATGTAAGTAGGGTTTTGAACACTTCTGAAACGATCCTGGGATAGATAGTTGCTCCACTGGTGATATCTCTCGATGCTGAACAAGACTTTTGACCTGGACTTTGCAGGGTAAGCTGTTCCAATGGAACTGAAAAAAACATGTGGACCTGCAGTTTCTCTGGTGGCTTTGCACATTCAGTCCATATAGTGTTCATAATGTTTACCGATTTTGGTGTTGAAACCATGTTTTTAGCGGCACTTTTTGTTGGTTAAATAAGTGGTTAACTCACCAGGCGATCCGTTTTTCCTGTGGAAGTAACTAGGACATATCTGATGATGTTGTCTGGAAATGGTGCGTTTTATACCAGCCCATATTAACTGATTAAATATATACCCCAAGAAATGGAAATGATAAAAGTACTACTATAGAAGAAACAAGTAATAGCAGGGTACTTTGAGGGTCCAGGACCATATTCCATTCTTTGAATTTCTGAACATGATAATCCCACAATTTTGTGGTCCCAACATTGGACAACGCAGCCTTCGCCAAGGAGACTCGCACGCGTGCCACCCGCGCAGCTGAAAATTAGTGGTGTCGATGGCTGGCTTCACAATCTTTTTGCCTTCTGGGTCGACCTTCCAGTTATCTGGGTATGGGTTTAAGACCTCTGGTCCCAATATTTGGGGGGTTCTTCAGATCCACAACTACTGCGGCTAGTTATTTGGCCAGCCCAAGGAAGTAACTTCTTGGAAGATGCTTGTTGCCATAGCATGATTCAGCTTTAGTAAAAATGATGGATCATAAGTTTGGGGATGGTTCTGATATATAATTCCTCTCAAGACTGAAATGGTATGCTCGGGTGCACCCTGCCAAAATTCAGCATTATCAAAAGGCTATGTTTCCCGATGGTACTGGTGAAACTTAAGCTTTCACTGTTTTTTCAGCATTGCATCAATAGCAATCTTGGTTTGTGAAGGATCATAGAGCAAATCAGTTCAGGGACGGCCAACTGGTCTTTTCGTTTTGCCAGCCCCTTTTCGCAGGATGATCTCAAAAAGGACTCGAGGTTTTCAGATGGGTCCAAGAAATACGGTAAAACCTTTGAAGTTCAACTCATCCTTGTTCTTCTACCTCTGAAGTTGCACGTTCTGAACCGCTTTTGCTTGGCCCTCTGGGCATGTGAAGTCACCGAAAAGAGACACTCCGAAACTCAACGAATCGAAAGGACGCGAAGCTGTCCTCGAGGATGGGTCAAACCTTTTTTGAGCTGGGACCTTGAAACTTTATCCATAGCAACTGATGAGTCACTGAAGTTTTCAGCCAGCAAAATTGGGATTAGTTACTGGTTAGTAACTGGTTAGTAGATGGGGTTTTCACCCAGTGATTTTTCATGGGCCAATCCACCACGGGTCAGTGGGGGTTTGCTTAGTAACCAGTTACAAGTGGGAAAAGCCGCTGAAAAGACGGGGACCTACTAACCAGGGATATTCACCACTTACGATCTGTGGATAAATCTCTCTGGGATATGAAGCCATATGAAGCCACCAAGGGGGCATTTCACATGGGTCTCGCGGGATCTATGGATTGGAAGGAATCTTTCAGTGGGAATTGATGGCTTATCATGGAAACCATACTACCCTCTGGTAATTTAACATAGCTATTGAAAATGGCCCATTTATAGTTGATTTACCTATTAAAGATGGTGATTTTCCATAGTTATGTAAACGTTTACCAGAGGGTATGTGTTTCTTCTTTGAGCTTGGTGAAATCCAAAAAATGCTTTGCCCAGACTTTCGTGGAGCTCAGATATTTTGACCCATCCTGCCAAGTTAAGCCAAGCCTTTTGTTACATATCGCATGGCATCTTTGACCATGGTCTCACTCCGCACGCCGTGGCTTTGCAATGATGGATCCATCGCGTGTCACAGCATTGAGGTGAATCCCCCATGTCACTATACAATACCATGATATACTCTCTGGTAATTTAACATAGCTATTGAAAATTGGCATTTATAGTGGATTTTCCCATTAAACATGGTGATTTTCCATAGTTATGTTAGTTTACCAGAGGGTACCACCCATAGGATCCATGGTGCTGCTATATATGGTGTGCCATGGATCCCATCAATATACCCCCAATCAATGTTAGCATCAATATACCAGCACCATGGATCCGTCATGGGCTATGTAATGAACAATTCAAATTAATTATAACTCTATTGTCTGGGCATAGTGGCATAGTCCTTTTTCAGATGATTTAAAATAATTTCCAAATGGTTGGTTGCCGAGATGGTTCATTCTTGGTCATTGGGTTTTCCACATTACTAGGAGTTAATCATCAACAATAAGGATTCAACCATCAAAAAGGGGAACTTTTAACCATCAAACACGTGAATGTTTTTGGAGGGCAACACTATCCACTGTTTGATGTCCATTTTTATCATTGCAGAGCGGTCACTCGAAGCTATCAGCGATAGCAAACAAAACAAGCGTTGTGAATTGAAATGCATGCTTTGTTACTTGCGTTGCTGAGCCAATGCCCAACCCAGACTGTCACACATGCTGTGCTTGAGTCATTAATATGCCACAGTAAAAAGGTGAATATGTGCCTTTAGTATCCTTTAACCTGTGCAAAACTCAGTTGAAAGCCGCACATGGATATTTTTTCAGGTTTGTGGTCCTACAATGCGCATACATTGGGACCCAGTTTGTGCGGTGCATCGAAAAAAAATGCCCATCTACTTAAACTGGTTGGATCTCTCATTCCCAATGCTCATAAAAACCATGTGAAAGCCTTAGCCCAAACCACCGATCCCTGAATTAATCGCTAACAATCCCATTTTGATGTTGAAGGGAATTGTATACAGTTTTTTGGATCTTAACAATCCCATTTGGACTCCCATTTAAGTTCCCATCTTTTCCTCGTGGCCTCGGGGTTTCTGTCCGCCCAAGTGGTTCAAACATCCCGTCTCTCCTTGATGTTGGATTGCTGCGCAGTTCCCACCGTGACTCGTCTGTGACTTAGGCGTTGGTCTGGGCATAGTGATGATTCATGTTTTGCTTAGGGAAAAACCCATGAATGAAGGTTTCCTAAGTCATGGGAGTACCCCTAGTCATCATCCATTTTAGATTGGGATTTTCCATGATTTTCCATGAAATAAACCATTATAAACCATCCATTTTGGGGTTTTTCCCCATTTTAGGTTAACCTCCATTTAGAACTCGGGGCAGGCTCCACTTTTTTTTTGGCTCCACCATGGGGAAACAAAAACACCACTCGGAGCGAGAGCATTATGTGCGTTATGTGTGTTGCTGGTGACTTCCCATCTCGGTCCTGGCTTGTGGATCAGATCCAAACATATATATATACTGTATCCATGATGTATACTAAATGGGATGATATACAGATATATCATGATATATCTATATACATAGATATATCATATCCATTCATATCCCATAGATATACAGATATACATCAGATCCTAAACATCATGGATACTGTACATAGATATACCCATGACGGATCCAAACGGTGCTGGTATATTGATTCATTGATGCTAACATTGATTAGGGGTTTTTGTTGATGGGATCCATGGCACACCATATATAGCAGCACCATAGGGATATAAAGTTCAATCAATGTATCTGGGTAAATTATAACGAAGTTTTAGGCCCAGGCTCCTCGCGCCGAACTTGGGTCCCTGGAGGGACCGAATTGGGCCATGGCAACTTCGTTTGATGCCTGGATCTTGGAGCACCTGCTGCTTAGCTATGACATTTTTGGGGCTGAAGGATGCCATCCTGCATTAAACCGGAAAAACATGTTGGTGGAAATCACTGATGAAACTCATGAGATTGATGACAAGAACAAATATCTCTTCAATCACTGGAGTGCGGAAGGTTTTGGATTTGAAGCATTCACCCGACAATACATGGAGATCCCTAGAGACACACTGATGGATGAAGCACAGGTATTGATTTGGGATGCAGCCACATCAGTCCCAATGCACCAGAAGATTTGGCTTTTCAATGTGGAAGAGATGATCTACAGGAATGGTACCCCTGGTTTCACGTACGTTTTTGATCAACATTCTTTTTGGACGTTTGTACCTTCGTTTGAGGAACACCCAACCAAGATCAAGGTCCTTGAATGGTTTGCTGGGGGATTTGGGGGATGGAAACATGCAGGACAGTTTTTGAGGACCCATGAGCAGATCCCCATGCAATTTGTTGCAGTTGAAGCCAGCCCGGAGATTTCTGCCCAGTATGCACTGACCCACCGAGCCCATTTGATAGCTGCATCCGACAGACTCCCAGATGATCTTTTCCTAAATGACTTGGACTGGATTGTACAGGCAGATGTGTTCAACCTGAACCTTAGGAAAGCCGTTCATACATGGATGCCGACCATCATTTGCATTAGCAGTCCATGCCCACCATGGAGCACAGCCGCAGCATCCGCTGGACTACACTCGAAAGAGGGACTGCTCCTTGCTCAGAGTATCCTGGAAGCCAGATTTGCTCGACCGGCATTTTTGTTGATTGAACAGGTAGCTGGATTTGCTTTCCACCAACACAAGCCTTTGATTGAACAACTCCTTTTGTACTGTGGATTCCAATTGATTTTCCAGAAGACGTTGGACCTGAAAGACGTTTCACAGCCAGCTAGACTCCGATGGTTAGGAATTGCCCGAAGAGTGCATGCATCCGTCATGAAACCGAACATCCAGGCCTGGCCTCGGAAACATGCTAGCACTTTCCCGAATCCACAACTTCATTTGCCAGAATCCCTGCGACACCAGACCATCGTCACAGCACAAATGGAGGAAGTAGCCAGCTCACTGGAATATGCCAAGCACAAGACCAAGGGGACACCAGCGCAGATTCTGCAGGCAAAGATTTTCCAGCCCACAGAACATTTGCCTACCTTTATGGCACGATATGGCACTCAACATTTGCTGGAAAAATCCCTATTGAAAGAAAAAGGCTACTTTGGACATTTTGTTCATGATTCAGCAGCCCCGAAAGGATTCCGACTTTGGCACCCAAGTGAGGTTGTCCTTGCCCATGGACTTGCAGATGTCATGCATATTCCAAACGACTTCATCTTGGCAAACAAAATTGTAGGCAACATGATTGCTGTACAGCATGCACTGTACCTCCTTACCAACACTTTGCCAAGCCTTAACGGTAGTCAAGTCAACATGATGGAATTGTTTGACAAATTTCGCCTTCACCAATTTGGATCCGAGACAAGCCATTTGTTTCCTGTCACAGATGGACATATGTTGATCAAACGCAACATGCTCTTGTTGAACGACTTTTGTGATGCAGCTCAACAAATATTGACATGGAAACATGAGATTCCTATGCACGCCGTTTGGACACCAAAACATGGCCTGATTGAAATGGAAAGAATCCATCAGCTCACAATGCCAAGACCGTCTGCACCACCACCTTCATCACAACTGACAGACGCAGAGGTTGACATCGAGGACACTCTACCAGACACCTTGATCTGGCAGCCACTGATCCGAGGAGAAGTTCAAATGGAGGACACCCAGCACATGTTTTGGTATTCCGCTGACCTGCCAGGACATGTCATAGCCAAAGTCTGGGACCATGCATTTGAGGTGAATTTTCAAGGAGTTGACCAAGCCACAACAGCTATCTTGAAACCAACCACCTCTTTCCAAGAGAGGGACCATCCGACTGAAAGATGTTGTGCCGTTCTACTGATTGAACAGGAATTGAATTTGATCTCGGTTGAACCAAAAGTGGCACTGCTCAAGCAGCACCAGATCAGTAGCGTAGCTAGCACTCTGTATGACCAATTTGGCCAGATTGCAGTTTTCCAGACCGCTTCTTTTGATGCAGTTTTGACGGATAGGCCTCTCCTTCACCAAAAGACCAGAATTGATTTGGTTTATTTGATTGCAGCCTTCCGACAAGTTCAAATTTGTATTTTTGAAAGAACGGTAGATCATGCAGTCTGTTTCTCTTTTCAGGGACCGGAACAGTCACAGCAAGCCGTCATCGAATTCTGGAACACCACATGTGCTGAGGAATCATGCAGCCTTCTAGGACGGCGCAGTGAAATTGCAAATGACACTCTTTCTTTTGCACCATGTTCGCATGATGGAATTGCACCACCCACTGCATTCAAGCTGGCCCTAGCCATCTGTGCAGCCAGAACATTGCTCGACCAGCTGAGGTGTGAAGAACCTGATGCACCAGAAGTCCTACTGAAATGGGATTCTAGGCCACTTTGGAGGGGAGCTTTGCATCCGAGCCATGACATTCGCACCATAGCCATGATCCTGTGCCATGCCCTTTTCCCTATTTCCAAGGGAAAAGTGTACCGAATTGTTTCAAAAGGCAAGCAGCAAGCACCTGAGACAACCATGGAATGCCTTCGCAGCACCAATCAGCAGCCGGCTCCGATCGTACTTTTTGCAGTCATGGAAATGCATGGAGGTGGAGCCAAACAGCAGCAGAAAGCAATCCAGCAAAATGCACTGGCCACAGCTTTCCTGGAACAGGGACATCCGCTTGATTGGACAGCCAAGACTGTAGATAGTATCGTGGACAAAGTCAGTTTGCATAGACTTCAATCCATCACCAGCCAACCCAAGAAAAGTACACGTATCCAGAGTTTGATGCAACTGTGTGAAGAGCTCAAAATCCAGATCCCGGAGCCACCGAAGCCACAATCACGCGCAGTGCCAACCGGAGCACCCTGGCAAAGAAAAAGAAAGAGGAATTGCCAATCCAGCTGGGGGAATTCACACTGGTGAATGCTTTCTTTATGAATGAAGATGGGAGCCCAGCGACACAAATCCAAGGAATTCGACCACAAGCCACGGGGGTTTGCCTCATGAATGATTCCCAGGCTGCACCGATCCTCAAAGAAAATCAAAAGCTTTCCAGTGATGAATTGGCCATTTTGGTTGTTGGACATCAGTATCCAGAAAATGTACCATCAGATGAAGTCACTTTCCCGTGCACCAATGCAAATGGGCAAGACGTCCTGTTATATGGTAGACTTTATCAACTGGGAAGTAAACAAATCAAGATCAATCAGGGTAACCCTCAACAGGTACCAGCAACCGTTTGCCAGCTCACAGCCATCACCATCTACAAGGAAGATTGGCCTGATCACACCTGGATGGAGGCGGTGCACAGCACTAGTGCTTTCATCAGAAAGGTTCTCCAGACAGACCAGCTTGACAAAAGCCTGCAAGCAATCTGGGGCAGATCATTGCGCAACGGAAGATCCCCGGCCAGTCCCAATGAAGCCATTAGCATTCAGGTTCATGCCACGATTGACTCAGCCAGCTTTGGAAAACTCCTACAGAAGTCAGGATTCAACAAGCTGTACCTCACACCCAAGCAGCAAACGGGACGCCCAACCAGTGAGTACCGAATCATTTGGCTGCACGGAGAATGCTCAGTTCCAAAAGCCATCGCAATCAGTGCCCAGACCAGCGGTTGTGCAGGTTTGGTCAAAGGCAAGAATGGGGCGCTGGGCCTGAGATATCCACAACCAGCTTTTGATGCAGCATGGCAAGTCATCAACCCAAAGATTGCGCCGCCAACTGACTTTCAAGGTGATCAGCTTTTCAAGATTGAAAACCTGCCTTTTGGAACTAGCCACCAAATGCTCAGCGCATGGGCGGAGGCTAACCAATGGACATGCAAACCATTCCGAGCGGGTCCTGGTTAGTCAAAGCTGCCGATGCGCCACCTGCAGGCCTCTTGATGTTCAACACGTCTCCGCTGTTGATTCGCCTGATCCAGTCAAGAGATGCCAAGAAAACCAGATTGGTGTTGGGGCCTCGCCAGAACCCGACTTACCAATCAGGACCTGAAGCCGACCCCTGGGCACAAGCAGACCCGTGGTCAAATTGGAAACCAGCCAGGCCTGCTCTGCAAGCCACAGCACCTGTAGCCCGAAACCTAGAGGGGCCGATCGAGGCCAAATTTGACAGCCAGGAACAAAAGATCTCAGCCATCCGAACAGAGTTGGACGAGCTTGCACAGAAACATGAAAAACATGCCAAAGCAGTCCAAGAAGAATTTGCCATCGCCAAACAAAGAGAAGCTGAGGAGTTCTCCAAGGTCCACTATGGGATGAAAAAGATTCAATCAGACCTGGACAACAACTTGGCCAACACCATGAAGCAGCACTCCCAAGCCATGGAACAGCAGTTCAGAGACCTGAAAGCCCTGTTCCAACAGTCGCAAAAGAGATCAAAACCAGACGCAGGGGACGACCCCATGGAGTGACAGCCGAGTTCAGCCAGCCTAAAATTCAAACCCCAATGCATGTATAGACCGAAGCAGTCTACTAATTTTGCTATACAACGACGGGCCGAAGTAGATAAGGGCTTAGAGTTCATTGCCATTGTCACTTGGAAGCTTGATCATGTATGGAACCATTTTTCCCAGGTTCCGGGCCACTATAGGGATATCATTCAACCTGAATGTAGCCAGGCTCGACCTGCCAATACCACTGCCGCTGTAGCTGAGGTTTTTCGAAGCAAGGTAGCAGTGCCAGTTTTTCAGCAAAGCCATTTGCCAAGTTCTGGTCAACCACAGACCATTTGTTTGCCAAATACGGGGAATGGAGCCTGTTCTAGTAGCATCCGCCGACCCCACTATGAAATACAAACATGTCGTCATGGTAACCCAATGGACATACCAAGTGAGCAACTCCAAGTAAGACGGGCTAAGGTCAGCTTGCATTTGATGATTGATCCAACTGAGGGCAGTTGTTGCACGCCCACCGTCACTTGTACAGATAACTTGCGTCCATTGCACCACCAGAGAGCCTATCAGAAGATGCACAACTTTCCTGTGAGCCGAGACACAATGATGCCTTGTCCACTCTGGAGGTTCTTCTGCTTGCTGCAAATTTTCATTTTGCTGTCCGGTTTAGGGGGCCTTAAATGTACAGAAGCATTCGCCACACTAGGACCGGTTTGTATGCAGCATAGTTTTGTCACATCACAGAGGTACAAGGCAAAATTTTTGAGGACACAGCCTGCACACTGTGAGGATCATCAGACAATTCCAACCCGGATATACAGCATTGGAAGCCTTTTATTTTGTAATTCAGCAAGGTCAGATGTGTACAGACTGATTTGCCGAGACTTGTATGCTCCACACTATCTTGATAGATTCTTTGTACAGATTGTGTTTGCACCAAATACTTGGTACTGCACCTTTGCATCCGAAGGGCATTTTGCTCACCGTACCGAAATGGCCAGTTTGCAACCTGATCACTCACCCTTTTGTGCGACAAGGGTTGGAGAAGCAGCCAATCCTGGCCCTGCACAGCTTGAAGAGATTAGGTTAGGAATAACTAATCCCACCTCCATCATAAGTAAAGTTGCCAACTACCAAGACTTGTCCAAAAAATTGCAGCTAGACCTGATCACAGCATCGGAAACGGCGGCCACCGCCAAAGCACAACTGCAATTTGCCAGAAACATCCGAAAAACCTACCCCAGGATGCACTGGTCACCACCAGTACCAGCGCATAGACACCGATCTGACGGAGACGAAAGCCTCCGTGGAAAAGCAGCCGGAGTAGCCATCATGACTACGCTCCCATCTAGAGAAGCCATAGGAACACTTGAGCCTGAATGGATAGCGACTTGCAGAATCATACATAGCGTGGTACATATGGGAACCAATAAGCTCCAATTGGTAACCTTGTATGGAGTTCCTTCCACCCAAAAGGACTCTGCCAGCTTTAATAATGACCTTTTGCAACAGGCTCTCCATGCTATCTCCCAAGTTAACCTACCGGCCATCATACTTGGAGACTTTAATGTGGACCCCTTTACACTTCCAGTAGCCCAAAAACTCTTCGCACTTGGCTTTAAGGACCTGAAGCAACTGTTTCCTAGACACCATGGAAAAGATATGCCTCCCACATGCAGGGATGTAACCCACCCTGATAACGCATTGGTATCACCTGAAATTCAAGACCTCATTTCCCAAATTGAGGTCCACCCTGAACCGTGGTTTGATGCACATAAGGTGGTGATAATCACCCTGCAAATGCCCCGAGAACCCTTCACCTACCTTCGCTTGACACTGCCACATAGCTTCATGCACTTGCCCTTAAATGAGGACCACCTGCCTGACGCTTATGAATATGCCTGTCGAAGGTTTGGTGATCCCACTACCATTGAAGAATGGGGCCAAACCGTGGAGGTAGCCGTGGATCATGCCTTACGTAAGACACAGATGCATCAGGACAACATTCCATTGGAGCGAACACAGGGACTACCTAAACACTGCAGGGGGCGATGTCAGCCACGTAAGCCTAAGCCTTGCCAGAGAAAGAACCTCACTAGGCAGGGTAGACCAGGTGACTATCAACCTCCACATGAGATCCATACCCATGCAACATGCAAAAAAGTCAAGCAGGTTAGAAGGTTAGACTCCATCTGTAGAGGGTTGAAAAAGACCATACTCACTCCGACACACATGGAAGTCCTAACAAGTGAATGGAAGGCGGTCTTAGCATGCCAGGCCTTCAAAGGCAACTTCATACGCTGGGCCCAGAGTAAACCTGAAATTGGTCCTTTGCCTATTTGCTTGCCTACGTATGACCTGGCTTATACCCTTTATCAGCTGGTCAAGCATGAGACCACCATAGCCATCCGCCAAGACCAAGCAGTATGGGCACGCAAGATGCAATACAGGCGACACATTGACACCACCCTTCAGGGCCATAAAAATGCATTTGCTCAACTCAAAAAGGACATGCAACCGCCACTGTCCTGCCTCCAGAGTGTAGAGATCAGAAATGCCCTAATAGTCCCTGAAAATAACCACCAAAGAGTTTTTGCGGATAACTGTAATGCTTTCCAACTTGACTCCCAAGTGATGGTTGATAATGTGCCTTGTAACATCATAGAAAAGGATGATAACAGCCTGCTGGTACACCCAGTCACTGAACACGACTGGCCTGACGCAGCAGATGTTCAACAGACACAACACCACTGCACTCCAGACAAAATGCTTGCCATGCTACATGCGTATTGGCAGCCTTTTTGGACAAAAAGTGAGATACAGCCTACTGAGGACCAACTCTCCAGCTTGCTTCAGACAGTGCCGAACCTCCCGATCCCAGAATGCCCTGAGGACCTGAACCTTTGGGTGCAAGCCATCCGCACACTAAATCCTAATAGTGCCAGAGGAATCGACGGGATCTCAGCACAGGAACTGCGCATCCTGCCTCGACATGCTATCCAACACCTCATGACCATCATGAATGGATATAAAGAAGGATTTCCCATGTGGATGATGTGGACACGAACGATGCCTGTCCCTAAGAAAGAAGGGGTCATCACACCATCCCAGATCCGACCAATCAGCGTGATGGCCCAGCTTTATAGACTCTGGAGTAAAATCCAATGTAGGCATGTCCTCTTGCATATCTATAAATCCCTTCCCAAAGCCATCACGGGATTTGTGCCAGACAAAGGACCCTATGACGCCATTTATGAAATGCAGTGGTACCTTGAACAGGCTCACATGCAAAACATTCCCAAATCAGGTATTTCCATTGACTTGCTTAAGTGTTTTAATACAATCGACCGAGACTCTGCCAGGGCCACGTTAACCAAGTTAGGAGTCCCCAAAAAGATGTTGCGACAGTTTTTTGGCTCCCTTCAAAAAGTAACAAGGTCTTGGATACTTCCAGACGCCATCAGCACACCCCAAGGCACCACCAGGGGATTTCCTGAAGGAGATCCTATGAGCGTCATGACCATGATTTCCATAGCAACAGCCTGGACTTACATGATCACTGACCGTACACCAGCTGCCCAGATGGCAGCCTATGCAGATAACTGGGGATGGACACTGGAACAACCCAGCTTACACTCTCAAGTCATTTCGGATACCCAAACCTTTGTCGTAGCTTTTACCATGCAGGTGGATTGGGAAAAAAGTTGGATATGGATGACACACCCAGCTCAGCTACCTGCGATGAAACGAGCCATTCGACAGCAACTAGGAGATCGAACCCTCACCCACTTGCTCCAAGCCATGGACTTAGGCGGTCAACTAACATACCATGGGCCTCCAAAATTGGGTAAGGTGCACAATAGATTTCAAGAAGCAATGCGACGCCTCAAAAAACTCCAGTCGATGCCACATGATGTAAAGACGAAAGCACAGCTCGTCACCACTGCAGTTTACCCACAGGCGTTTTATGCCTCAGCAATTTTGCCCATTGCCAGAAAACACACAGACACCATACGCACGCAGATAGCAGATGCACTGCTTGGGCATTCTGTGAGCCGGAATTCAGCAATAGCCATACACTGTATGCCTTTCATTCATGACCCGGAACTCATGCTTGCGCTTAACGCAGTGAATATGGCCCACCGTTTCCTCCACAGATGCACAGCAGGGGAGGCAAAGCAATTCCTGCAGCTTGCAGCTAGACATTCAGGAATGGCACACCATTGCAAGGGGCCGGCAGGCTGCCTCAAATTCTACCTTGGCCGATTAGGGTGGATAATCGACAAGGAGGGCAATATCACAGTTGCTGCATTCCGCACATACCCATTTTTGACCACCAGCAGACACAAGTGGAAAAGATTGCTGCTCGAAGCCTGGCAGGATGACCTTCTCCCAAGATTCACTGCCAAAAAAGCTTTAAAAGGCTCACCACCCATAAGTAGCCTGGACACCATTGCAGTCATCAAAAAATTCAGCCAAACCGACTGGCGAGCACTTCTTAATGAAATTTCCAGTGCATTCCAGTGCGCCACACAGCAGGCAGTCTGGGACCCACAGACTGACCCCACCTGCGCCTATTGTGGCATCCCAGACACCAAGTTTCATAGAATATATGAATGCTCGCTGAGCGCTGACTTCAGAGGAGAAATCCAAGACACAATCGACTGGATGACCCAGGAAGGGGTGGAGTGGCATGAACTACCTGCGATCATGGTTCATCCTGAGAGGCAATGGCACCTTGTTTATCATGAACAACAGCTGGAGCCAGACATCCCGCACACAATGTTCTGCACCCTCCAGCACATGGATGTAAATGGATCAAGCTTGCAGTTTTACACAGACAGATCATGCCAATTTCCTGGTTCACCCAATACCAGGTATGCCACGTTCGCCGTTGTGATTGACATAGCTAGCCATGATTCCGAACGCATTGCAGCTGCCAAACAATTTGCACAATCCAGCTTGATGCCACCCACATTGCATACGCTGAGTGTGGGCCGGACTCCTGGCGACCAAAGCATTCACCGCTCAGAACTCTTAGCCATTGTGTATATCTGTGAACGATTCTATAATACTTGTATCCACACAGATTCTACAGTGGCACTTGCAGCAGTCAGAGAATGTTTGAAAGAAAACCCTCAAATTCATGCCATGGAAGACCTGGACCTTCTCACACGCTTGCGTAAAGTGATACATTTAGGCAACCGACAGTTTCATAAAGTGCAGGCACACTCAGAAACCGACCTGAACGTCACCTGGATGACACTTTACCATAGGTTAGGTAATAAAAAGGCAAACGATGCTGCCATCACTGCCAATAAGTGGATTCAACCAAATGCGGTAGCGGAGTTCAACAGCGTGCACGAGGACACTCACACACATCGCGCACATCTGCAGAAGCTTTATGGATTTCACCTAAAGGCAATCAGAAGGCATGCGGAGCAATTACAAAGAGAGAGTTCCAAACCTAACCAGAGACAGTTTGACTATACGGGGCCTTCCATGGATGACATTTTTGTGCAGTTTTCCTCATACAGAGTGGAGCAGCCATGGATTATGCCAGTCAGCCAGATGAAGGAGCACAGACAATGCGCTTGGGGACACACGATAGCAACTAAGGTCTTGCAATGGGCAGAACAATTACGTTGGCCACAACTTGAAAATTTGCACCCGTTGCAAGAAGATGGAATAACTTGGATTGAACTGGTACTTAGCTTTATGATTTCTCAGAAGGTTTTTTTTGCCCCTGAAACGAGAAGGACGAGAAGGAAGACACATCCTTGTACCCTTTGCAAATGAAGCAGCCCTGGTGGCCTACCAGGGCAAGATGTCAGAACTTGCACAGACGTTCTCAATCCTCTGCAAACAAATTTCGGACCTACAAGATAAAGAATTTCTACCACCAATCGAGAAGGGCCTGGTGCGAAGTCTTTATAAACTTGGATCTAATATTTTTAGCAGTGGGTTTAAGTGGCGGCCGTGGTTTCCGGAACAACAACAAGTCTTGCAGGTGTTACGGCCATACCTTCAGTTGCACAAGGGACCATCATATGCGGCGCTACCTGATTTTCCCTTTACACCTGATGAAGCTATCTACCAACAGATCAGAAGAGAGTTAACTGGAGATTGGAATGCGCGGTCAACGGCTGCGCAAAAGGCCATGAGAAAGGTACGCACATGGGCTAGACATCCTGTGGCCCGAATTTCATTTGCATGATCCCAGGCAAACGCCTGATGGGCCGAAATGGCCGCGGCTTCACCTTGGTTAGGTCGCGATCCGCCTCGACAAGGGGAAAAGGGTAAATTATAACGACCTCACTGTTCTCCCTCACTGGAACTATGGTTATAAGGGAAATCATCCCCAAATGGCCGAACTATTCAGGTGAACGTGAAATATTATAATTTACCCAGATACACATGATATATAAAGTTCAATCAATGTATTTAATATTGATTAATATTTATCTATATATAAATATATCTATATAGATATTTAATTTGCAGTATATTTATCCAAATATCCAACATGGATGATTTTGTTTTTTGCACCTTCCAACATCAACTTCCCGGACTCGGCGTGAAAACCAAGCCAGGGCTGTGACTCACGACCGTTTGGGACCGTAAGTCACTGATTTTTTTGGGATGACCCGGTTCCCGCGGGGACATATACATAATTGAATATCATTGATATAAATATCCATGTAATATCATGTCATAATCTGATATTTTGATAAATTATAACTCTATGTATTTATAAATGAACAGCACGCAAAACTCGCCAGTGCCTAATCATTATTATGATTTCCAACCAATCAACATGAGCGCATTAGAAATGAGAAACCACCATGAAATTTTAAATGACCAACGAGCTATCACCTTCCTATATCCGATAGGATCCATGGTGCTGGTATATTAATGCTAACATAAAGGGGGTATATTGATGGGATCCATGTTACCATATATAGCATACATGGATCCTATGGGTATATGTTTGGTCATGCCACTACTTTCTGAACATTCAGCTTTGCTGGTCGAACTACTACACAAGTATCCACCATAAACGATCCCATCAACCGCAAGAATTATAAGCTCTAATGGGATATACTTATAGTTGGTTGGGTATATTTCACTACACGAATTTTAGTTTTGGCTTATTTCAACCATAAACATCCATAAACTACTTGCTCTATCATTTATAATTCGTCTAGTGAAATAAACCAACTTAGCCAACTTAGCCAATTTAGCCAACTTAGAATTCAATTCCATCTTTTTGCTGACATGGCGATTTCCTTTGAACAAAACCAGCCAACTTGGCCTCAAATTTCGATCGACTTGGAGGATCATCAGTGTTTTATTCACCAACATGGCCTCGATCCGTGCTGTTATCATGCGATATAAACAAGGGCCTTGGGGATGATTCAAACCATCTACAAACCATCATTCCAGCGATTACAGATGGCCACATTGATGATTTTCCCAGCTCTAAACATCCATTTTTCAGGGATTTTTTCCATTCTTAAATACAAACACTAAAACCCCTAATACCCCAATATAAAGCACACCCGAAGTCTATGGTCCCTTAAATATGGTGGTTTCATCCTTTCATCCCCTACGAAAAACCATGGGTTTATTGGGAGTGTTTAAGGGCTGAAGGGGGGATACTTAAGAAGATGTTCCCATTGGAAAAATTTCATAAATACGATATATAAAATCCTCTGTTATGATTCATATAGCTGTGGATTTTTCACTATTTTCAAGTTCTGTAAATCATCGGTTTTTATCATCGAACAATTTCGTGGGCCATAGCTTCCAGTTCGCAAAGTGTTAAATATATAACCTCATAGCTATTCCATAGCTATTCAGCCATGGCTTCCATCGCAAAAAAAAACGATAGGTCATGCTTGGAGGATGATCCCACTCTAATATTAAACACCCCCATGGCAACCATTATCGCTGGTGCTTTTCAGGGCTTTCGGGACGGTTTATTAGTTTATCAATTTTTATTTTGAGTTTATGTCATGACACTGACATAACATGATATAACCATAGTTTGTGTTGTGGCTTCGACCAACAAACCCATGACGGATCCATGGTGCTATATATATGGTGCTCCATGGATCCCATCAACAAAAACCCCCAATCTTTATGTTAGCATCAACAAAAACCAGCACCGTTTGGATCCGTCATGGGAATATCTATGTACAGTATCCATGATGTTTAGGATCTGATGTCTGTATATCTATGTATATCTGTATATCTATGGGATATATCTATGTATATAGATATATCTGTATATCATCCCATTTAGTATACATCATGGATATAACATGATATAACCATAGTTTGTGTATGTTTGTGTTGTGGCTTCGACCAACAAATTCGACCAACAGGTCATGCCTTCCTACAAGTTGACCTACTTCGACATCCGCGGCCTGGCCGAGAACGCGCGCATCCTCTTCGCGGCCGCCAAGCAGCCTTACGAGGACGTGAGGTTGTCCCTGAGCTTCGGCACCCCGGGGGACTTCAGCACCATCCAACGTGGCCTGGAACGGTTAAACGGATGGGGAACATCCTGGGGAACATGGAACTTGGCAAAGATTTCAGTATACCCTCTGGTAAACATACAAAAAACTATGGAAAAACTAACATAACTATGGAAAGATCCACCATTTTTAATGGGAAAACTCACTATTTCTATGGCCATTTTCAATAGCTATGTTAAATTCCCAGAGGGTATCATTTAGGTGATCACCACCCCTGTAAGACTACTTTGAAAAGGGACCATACCTTAAAACGCTGGTGATCATATAAGATACAAATTAAATATATATATATATATATATTTGCTGTTATATAATTAGTGATTAGTGGGGAATCATGGAATCATTTTAATTTGATGATGATGATGATGATGGCGGCGATGATTTGTGTGTATCTGAAAATGTAGGATTTTTTGTTTACCATAAAAATGTATGATAGGAACATGATGATCAATCATGGGATTTTTGGGGTACCCTAGCCTGCAATTTGATTTCAAGAATTTTCCGGTAGATCTGGATCATAGGATCCGGGATTTTTTGTCGAGTGGCTGCATTAACTTGCCCTTTTTCACGGGTTTTTCGGGCTGGATTGGGTTGGACTTGTTGTGTTTGAAGAAGGCAAATTCCATTTGGGTATATTTTCCCGGCCCACATGACTTGGAATCCACATTACATGATATCCCCATTACATATCCGCATGATGGTCCCGAGCTTGAAATCTTGTAGCTTGCAATATCCAATACATAATTTATCCCACAAACATGTTCCATTTAATACCCCTTTATAAACTGGTTGGTTTAATATGCACGCTTTTTGAAGGTGTTTTGAATCACCAGATCGAGTTCGATCCATGAAAACTACCATCTGGTTATTTAACAGTTTGCCATGGAAAATCACCATGTTTAAGTTCGGTAAACCATCATCCCATCTATTTCTATGGGCCATCGAAATCCCATGGCTATGTTAGTCATAACCAGGGGTATATTTTCGCACATGAGAAACTCATCCCCTTCCCAGCGTGCCACCAGGAATCGAGTTTTTCAGATGAGTTACCCTCTGGTAATTTAACATAGCTATTGGAAATGGCCATTTATAGTGGATTCTCCCATTAAAAATGGTGATTTTCCATAGTTATGTTAGTTTACCAGAGGGTATCCCATTTTTCATATTTCTTTGGGAAAGATATTTATGGATGCTATAAGTTTCCCATGACCCAAAGTGCCAGTGTTGAAGATGGGACCCATGTTAAAAATCTTAAAACCCTCTATGAACGCATGAGGCTGCATGTTTTGTTTGCAAAATCCAAACTGAATCCCATTTTTGAGCCACTTGTATCCCCAGGTCCCAATTTCGATCCATCAAATATCCCCACTCTATCTTATTATGGTTAGCGGAACCAGGTGAAACCCGCATTTTTGTTAAACAGTATGAATTCAAACAATCACCATACCCACAAGCAGACAAACTACCATTCAGAAGCATCATTGTATCGGCATCACAGGGCGGAAAGGGTATATTAATTCAGAACCTCATTCTAAAAATCTACAGGGGATGCTTTGAGAGAATATACATTGTATCACCGACAGCCCACATAGATGAAGCATACAAAGAAGTAATCCGATATATAGAGAAAGAACTAAAAATAGACAACAAAAAAGAGCAATATTTGTTTGATGAGTATGACCCTGAAAGTCTGGCACACATCATAGACACACAGCACAAAGTGATAGAATACCAGAAGAAAAACAAGATGAACAAGTTATATAGTTGTTTGTTAGTAGTTGATGATTTCGCAGAAGATAAGACATTTATGAGATATAGTAAAATCCTTCACGGCTTATACACAAAATCAAGACACTTTGGATTATCAGTCATAACTGCCACAAAGAAGTATAACGCTTTAAGTCCTATAGTCAGGTTAAATTCAAGTAGCCTTTACATCTTCAAACTGAAAAATCAATCAGAACTTGACACATTCATTCAAGAGCAGTCAGCCCTGATTGATAAGAAAACCATAAATGAAATTTACAGAGTAGCCACTGAAGAGCCCTACTCATTTCTATTTGTAAAGTTGAGAGAGAGTGATATAAATAAAATCTTTATGAACAGATTTGAAGCGGAAATCCATATTCAATAATATTACTTCAATCAGAATATTATTAAATCAAACTCCAACTACAAAGTTGAATAGCAGGTAGTTTATACATAATCTTATCAGACTTTTCCTTGTTCAATTTTTCAATTTTGCTATTGATTTCTTTTAAGGCTTTTATTTGTAATTTATCTATCCTACTAATATCTAACTCTTCTTCATTAATTTTACTCAATTCTTGAATACAACCGTTCTCAACTGTAGATTGTTTGTGTCCCATATTTATAGGTTTATATTTTAATTTTCTTTGCTTTTTGCTTTAGCCTTTGCTTTCGCTTTACCTTTACCTTTCAATTCTTTTATCTCCTCCATCATTTCAAACATACAAGCCTCTAAATGCTCAATCTTTTGTTGTTGCTCCCTCACAGCGCCCCATAAAATAGAGTTCATCTTGACATAACTTAATTTCTTAATACCATCCACTTTCACAAGTATATTTTCAACTTTTTCTGGTATATTTTCTTCTACCTCCTCTGCTATAAAACCTATATGAGTTTTAGTTATTCCCATTTCTTTTTCTTCTTTCATTTTGAAAGTATGAGGTTTAATGCTATTTACTATTTTTGTAAAATTGAAGTCTGCTTCTTCAATATCATATTTTTTATCTTTTTGCGATGTATCCACTAAATCCCCTTCTAATGTATAAGGTGCTGGAACAGAAACTTTTGATGGTGTGACGAAAAGTTTTGCGCTATTATTAGCATAAAATCTTATGTCCCCGTTAGGGTCTTCATTGTATAACTTGAAATGATTAACACCTGCTGTATTTTCATTAAAGATATAACTATCTTTACCTGTTTCTTTATGAAAATATGCCCTTTTGTCTTGATTGACATATATATCTTTTGAAAAATTAACATCTTCATCTGCTTTTCTGTATCTCATATATTCTACTGAACCGTCATCTGTTGTATTACTGCCTTGAAAAACCATATCAGCACCAACATTTCTATGGATAAAATAGTCTCCATAAATATATTGAGACGACAATGCCCGACCAGTTGATACATCAATAATATTTTTAGTGCCGTCTAATGTAAAGAAATTAACACCACCCCTTTTAAATACTACATTAGTAGGAGTGGCACTATCAATCACATCAAACTTACCACTTTCAGCAAGTAATGATACACCTGTATTTACTTCTACATTGCCATTTCTAAAATACATAAAATCTATGGTGTTCCTTCTAAAGCTGACATCAGCATTGCCGATACTATCATAAGTGTTTGATTTAGCACCTTTTGTTAGTTCCACTGCTTGTAGCGTTCCTTCAAACTTCATATATTCAACATCACCCCTTTTAAAGACTAAATCAACATTACCAGCATTTTTTGTATTGATGACATCGGTTTGTAATTCAGTATGACACACGACATCAACATTAAAATACGCCTGAGTGGATGATAATTGATACTTTAAGTGTTGAGGAAATGGACTTCCTCCAACATAAAACCAATGTAATCCAGCAGAACCAAAAATACAATAATCATAACCAGTATTACCACCTCCTAAATTAATAGAACGGATATAACCTTTACCAGTCCCTAAAGCAATTGACCCTCCAAGGACTAACTCTATACCTGAAAGAAAATAAGAAGTTCCATTAACCGTTAAATCAAAACTACCAAATTGAGCACCACCACCTATGACTACATCACCTTCTATTGTCTGTAATGTTTCACCAGTATATTTGACGCAGTTTGATGTATCGCCACCTGTTGCTAAATTAGTGGGTTGATTAAATTGAATTTGTCCGTCAGTCAGAGTTATGTAATCAATTCCTGCTCTTTGAATTACTAAATTGGTTGCTGTTTTTGATGATATTTCATTTACAGTCGCTCCATCTGTTGATAATGATATACCAGTGTTTAAATCTAATGTGTTATTTCTTAAATAAAAGAAATCAGTAGTGTTTCTTCTAAAATTAACATCGGCATTGCCTATACTATCATAAGTGTTAGATTTAACACCTTTTGTCATCTCTACTGCTTGTAGTGTCCCTTCTAATTTCATATATTCAACTCCGTTTCTTTGTAAAACTATATCACTGTTGCCATTGCTGTTTAGTGTATTTGTGTTAAGAGTGCCACCTACAACAACATTACCTGCTATTGTTTGGGATGCTTCACCAGTTAATTTTACACAGTTGGAAAGGTCAGGAGTTATTGCTAAATTTGTAGGTTGGTTAAATTGTATTTGACCATCTGCTAAGGTTATGTAATCAACACCATTTCTTTTAATCACTAAATCTAACGGTGCTATGGTGTCTATTTCTTGGGTTTTAAGATTGCCTCCACATTGGATTAACTTACTTGCTACGATTTTAGTTTCAGAAACATCATATTGTATGTAAGTATCGTTGTTGCTTTGAAAAAGTATATCATTTAAATTTAGGGCATTGAATGTATTTGACTGAATATTTGAACCTTTGATATAACCGCTACTATCTAATGATGCCACTAAGTGATTACCATTTACTTCACCATCCCCATATACATAAAAGTCTCTGCTTGATGCTACACCGTTCAAAATGATTTTTGATAGACCATCAATGTGTCCCAGCCTCAAAGTGCCTGACATATCCTGTGGATTGTTAATATTAAGCTTGTCATTCAGTAATGTATCTGTCTCTGATTTATTATACTTATTGTTTAATAGTGTATCTGTCTCTGATTTATTGTATTTATTATTTAATAAAGCATCTGTCTCGGTTTTATTATAGTAATTTGTTAAGTCAGTCGTGCCTGTTCCTCCACCTCCTCCATTGATGATTGCTGTATTGACATAACTTTCCGTTGCTAAATTTGATGAACCCGTTGCTAAAAGTTTGATAAATTCTGTTC